ATAGTGGGATTGACCGAAACATTATAACGCCCCCACGGCTGAAAGGGCGAGCATGTTTGGTGTGACAGGGATTCGAACCTGCGACCCTCAGATTGGGAGTCGAGTACCTTAACCACCTGGCCATGCCGGGCCAACGTGTTATATTTGTGGTGACATACCCCCATGTTAGCATAAACAAAACGTTCTTATAAAGTATTACTAATTCTAAGGCATCACGCCATACATTAACCGGAACATAATTTTTTTAAATTAACTTCAGTGCCAGGGTCGGCTGTTTAACTCGTTGTCAGCGAGGTTTGGAAGTTTGATTTTTGGCTATCTGAGCTGTATCCATTGCGGAAAATCAAACTCCGGGTTTTAGCGTTCTAAGTCTCAAGTCTTGTGTCAGCTTTTGGGATAAATTATTGTATTTGTTTGGGTTAGTTAAGAAAAATACAAGTATGATCTTATTAAGTATTTCTCAAAATGGGGTTCCGACCCAAAAGGTAGGTCGCAAGGGCCTCGCAAAATTATAGAAACTATTGTAATAACAGATATTTTGGAGCACATACTCTAATTTGCTATCACTTTGTGCGTGTGTGTGGGGGGGGGGGTCGCCACAGGCTGTAATATTTTCGGGGGGTGGCAGCAGATGTTTTACAATTCCCAATCTTGTTGTTGTGTATGTGAATAATGAAAATCTTTTTAAAACAGAAAGTCGTAAACATAGCTTCCTCAGCGGTTGATATTTACATGGCTTCTCAGGGTTTAAAAAAGTAATTACCTCAACAAGCGATAATAGATAGACAAACAACGATTTATAAGCATAAGGAACAATCTTATTTATGGTGTAACATACATGTTTCGACAGAACATTGGTGTGTTTTATTCATAAAGTATGTTCCTCCATCAATCAAATTCTTCCTCATGCTTATAAATCGTCGTTTACCTACTTATTATTATATTAGCATAATGTGCTTCTTTACTCAAATATCAACAGGTGATACTTACGTGGTGTTTTATGGCTGATAAAACTGTAATTATCTCAACTGTTGGTACTTACATGGCCTCTCATTAGTAGGTATTCTACTTCGGAAGAACTTATCGTTCCTATAGGCAACAAATTTTACTCTAACTTCACTCAATTCTGCCTCAGCAATTCTAACAGCTTCAACAGGAACAAAGATTAAAGAGTCCTATGAAAGAAAATACATTGTAAATAAATAGTTTCCTCTTCGTAATTAGCGGAAACAAATATCTCAAAAGTGATAATTGTGACATTGAAACGAGTATCCAAACTCTAGTGCTTTCAATCTTTTTATCTAAATAGTAAACATAATATATAAACTATCAGCTTAATACTCTCAAGCCTGCATTGGATTAATAGCATGGAACACCAACACAGAGCATTTTGAAGGTTATTATCCTCTCTGTAAAACAATTGTCAACAAAAGTTAATGAATCATCTTGACAATTCTTCAACTGTATGATAATGTAAATAAAATGCCTATTATTACTTTTTAATAATCTTTACCACTAAGATACTTGAAAAATCTTAATTCGTACTGGAAAAAAATTAATTGGGACATTAAAAAAAGTTCTGCAACGCATTATATTTTGAAAAATATTATGCTTGTATTCTTAAATCGACTTACTGTTGTTTTATTTTCATAATCTTTGTTTCTGGGTATGTGATTTTTGGTTTGAGAAACCTGGGATGTTCCTGGTGCAAGATGTGTTGGTGAAAATTTTAAAACCTCTTCCGCGTTCTCAGAAAGCTCTGGGTCCCAGGATAAAGCCTTCAGGGCAATGTTGTCTGTTTCAAGTGTGATACTCTTTCCTTTCTCAAGCTTCACATCTGACATGTATCTATCTACTAACCAAACTAACCTACAATATACAAAAATGAAATTTTTATAATCTAAAATTTGTTAAACAATCTTCACAGAATTAACATAACAATGTAGATAACAGCAAAGTCCCCCGGAGAGACAGCGGAAAGTTTACGGACTTACAACGCTAAAATTCGGGGTTCGATTACCCACAGTGGACACAGAAGATAGCTCAATGTGGCTTTCCTTGAAAACAAACAAACAGTAAAATATGGTATTTATAAGAACTACATAGAGCACATCTTTACATATGTAGTATATTTAAAAATAACTTCTGAAAACAAGTAAACTGGAAAGTGAAATCGTAATTTTGAAGGTATGTCTATTACATATTATAGGCATATAAAGGTGCAAATAGTCTTTCTTGAATTCACTATCAGAGTAATTGAAAATTTTATCCCAAATGTTAAAAGAAAATAACCTGCTTGTAGTGGTTCCATTTTCGTCTGCTTCAGCAAGGACACTATCGTTTAAGGCTAACATGTTACTAATGACCGACAACATATTCTCGGCAACCTGAGAAAAAAATATAACATTCATTAAAAAGATATTTTTAATTACTATTCAGTAAAACATAAAATCAGTACTAATAGCCATAATACTGTTTGTGGTATGATCAACGTAATTTAAAAGAAATTAATTATTTTTTCTGTCTGATGACATATATATAAAGATAAGTCTAAATAATAATTTCATAACACATTACCGGAACTCTCTGACTTAATATTTGCTATATTTTCATGATAATGCATTGAATGGTACATAGTTCAACATTTTAAAGTATATTTTTTCTTTAGTTCTCTTATTTCTGATTATTCAACATATGTGACAAAAAATTAAAATCTTGAACCATCCAATTCTACGGTATTTGGTTTCTTAAGAAGCTGTTAGGAACTTACGAGTATTTTTTTAAATTTAAGGCAGATTACATTAAGTGTATTCTGTAGAAAGTAAATTGGTTAACAAAACTGGAAATTAAGAAAAAATTAACCTTGTGATCAGTTAAAGCATAATTTACAATGTCTTGAATTTGCCTCGTTGCTTCTCGAAGCTTTTGAGGGTTCATGTTTTCTGGATTCTTCGTGAGGATCTTTAGCTTCCCTGTGATCTCTTCTGCACGTTTGAAACCCTGAAAAAAAAAAAGAACAAACAATTTCTGAAAAGGAAGATAGACTAACATTAAGAGGATGTAAAAGAAAACAGAGTGATGTAATTTACACAAAAAGGAAGACAAGTGACGTTAAGAACCTTTAAAAGCGTACAAACAATAAAAATAAATATGAAGCATAATCTACTATTCGATTTACCACTTGTCACTAACTTTTACCGATTTATGCAAATACCACCCCTCATGAGTAACTCTGAACAAGGTCAAATCGAAAAAAACAAAACAAGACTAAGCTTCATATAATGGTGGACTGTCTTATACTTATGGGTTTTTGAGTAGTCTTTTCTCACCACTATGCTCTTATACTTGTATAAAGTTTGAAGAATATGTCGCATTGTACTACTAATTTACGAAAAGATTTAGCATTGTGCTACTAATTTATGAAAAGATTTTAGCATTGTGCTAGTAATTTATACTATTGAATTATTCAGTATACAATCTGTTTAACATACTAAAATAAATACAAAACCCAATCTATCATCCGATTCACAACTTGTCACTGGGTTATATCGGTTTCTAGGAATTACACTTTGCTTCCGTAATCTTGGACAAATGCAAATCGAAAGAACAAGAAGAAGCTTCATACAGTGGTGGAGTATAAATTAAATGTAGGGTTACTGAAAAGAGGTTGAATTCTCAGGAAGTTGTATAGCTCAGTAACAAGTGGTGGAGTATATATTAAATGTAGGGTTACTGAAAAGAGGTTGAATTCTCGGGAAGATGTATAGCTCAGTAACAAGTGGTGGAGCTAATGATGAATTTAGTTTCATATTTATTTTTAGTACATTAAAAATTGTATATACTGAATAATTCATAAGAATATATTAGTAGCATCAATAATTACGCATTTTTCAAATCCGATGCAAACTGAAAGAGTAATCCTCGGGTTTTGTACAATACGGATATTTAACCCAAATATTTTATAGCTTTGCATAAACGATACCACCTATCATGTTTTTGTCCCGTTTCAAACTCTCACTGCAAAATTGCTAAGCATTCGAATGCGTGTGTACAAATTACAGCGAGATCAACAGCAATGTTCTTACACTTGGGTTGTTTGTAAAGGCAAAAAAAATATTGCTAGAAACATTTAATACATGAAATGACATGCATTCAATATGACGTTAAATACATTGGTGAAACCAGTCATCCAATACGTAAACGTTTTAAGGAAGACAACCATACAATCGTGAATCTGGATTCTAAAGAGGCTACTAGCGAACATTTTCTAATGAAACATGGTACAGTAGATAAAACACCATTTAGCATTAAGCTCTTAGCAAAACGTAAATTCAAAGGCTCTCTCCTGATTCAATCTGATAAACAGAAATAATTCTAGAGCTTTGTAATTACCCTCCCACCCGGAGGGTGGTGAGGGTATTGCAGTAGGGAGTGTGTATGTGTAACTCAAAAACTAATCGATGTACATGAACATTTTGCATAAGATTGGGAGTCAGTATTGGACAGTCCTCGCCAAATTTGGTCCGGATCCAAATGCGGATTCTGGATTACTTTGAAGCTTTATATATAATGGGGAGATAGGGCGTTTACGTGGTTTTTGGTTAATAAGTCTGTAAAGTATGATCGGATTTGTACCAAATTTCATGGACGCATGAAGTTTGAGACTCATCACAATAACAAAAAATCCGAATCTTTGATTATTCTGGATCTGAGAAGCATTTTCTGAATTTTCGAAGGTGAAATTTGATATTATATAATATAAACGCAAACAATCTCGATAAGGAGCGATTGGGCGAGCATATGCAAACTCTGATTGCTGTTAATTTTGTTTTTGTTGGATAGCTTGCGATTTTCTGTAGCTTAGCCAGTCATTCTAATTCTTTTCAACATACGTGCGATAACACTTGACATTACTATTGTTAGCTCGGTTTTTAATTGTTGTGTGTGTGTGTGTGTGTGTGTATATATTCTTTTCAGTTGTTAGTTTGTGTTTTTATGTAACGCTGTAACCATTGAGAAAGGTGTAACCCCAAACGTCTGGTTTGAATAAAAACATTTTGTTTCTAGAGTGTGGTTAGTCGTTTGTTTTACAGACATCATTGGTTATTCTTAACAATGTTGTACTACGAGTTGTTGTTTTTTTGTATTGTTTTTATTAACTAAGAAGAAAATTTCTCGAAAAAGCTCCAGTAATAGCTTACCGGTAAGTTACATATAGTTTCTTTCAGGATATTCTATATTATATTGTTTCAGTGATAATATCAAGAGAATCATTCAGTAGTTAATAAGCTACTGCTTTTTCAGAGTTCATAGTACTTAGGACTATCCACATGTACAACAACTGCTTTAACTTTCAAATATTTTTAATTTAGAAAGACTTAAAAAATTATTACGCAGCAGGAAGTTTTCTTCAAAGACAAACACGTTCTTTGATTTTTGGAATAAGTGGATTTTAGCAATATGCTCTATCGAATTACAGTTGAATTATCCGCACGTCTCCAATAAAATATGAAATTCCTGTTACTCAGAATTATTAACAATACGGCAAAAAGAGGCCAGACAGATGCTTAACTATTGGATAAGAGATATCATGAGTTGTTCTTATTTTCCATTCATGAGATTTAGTTTAAGGTCTTTACCTGGGAAATTTCAATATACAATCGAATTATTTCTTTTAAAAGGATGATGATCTTTGAAGTTTAAAGCGATACGTAATAGTTTTATCAAAAGAAAAAATCATTTGTTGACATCATCAGATTGTTACTAATACTGTATTAAACGTCACTAGACACCACCTCATCAATAAAATGTTCGTGCTTGTATTCCTAAGCGTCTTACAAACATCAAATCTGCGGTAAGCATAGTAATAATCAAAAGCCTTTAACATTTAATCATACTGAACTGCACTAACTCAAATCTATCTGAATATGACTGAAGCATCTATAACAGCATTTCAGGTTCTTAACAATGATAAGATCAGATCAGGATTAGGTATTCGTAAACCGTCTACAAACCTCTTCTCTACAGTTCCTAAAGTAAGTAGTTCCCCACTCAACTAAGCCACTTTCCAACAAATGACAGCGTTTTTGGGCAAAACCTTCATGCCCAGTGTGTAAAACACCGTATGGGCATTCAAACTGTGCAAACGTTCCATGTTCAGTTTCATTCCAGTAAAATACGCCTCGGTTTGTTGTTTCTACTATGGGTGGACACTGGGCTGATTTCAAAGAAAGAAGGCACACAATTACTCAGAATCTTCTGTAACACAAGAAAAAACTTTTTTCATTCAAAATAAGATAAATAATTGATTTTTTTAAATCATTCATTTTCTAAATAATATAAATAGTTATGAAATTTAATGGTGAAGTAAATCATTCTTTCATGTTTGCAACAAACTACCATTGGTAACAACTGTTCTTCATGATATCCATAAATTTCCCATGCAGCTTGATAATGATTTGAGTAAATTAAGGGAAACAGACAGCATGGTGCTCGTCTTTATGTGCAAAAATATGAATTTCCCTCTTTTCATGTTTAACGACATCTTGAAAACGTGTATTCTGGTGGGTGTGATCTTCTGATGTTTAACAGTATTTTCATGATTAAAAATGATTGTAACTGTGTGACGTTTGAATTCAAAATGAATGACGTCTCAGAATTTTACACATATCACTTAACTTTAAGCGAGATGCCTTTTCTTACACTTAAATATTCAACAATATAGCATTGCTCAGATAAATAAAAACCCGTATAATTTATTTTAAAAATCTACGAGGTAAAAACGTTTGTAGGTTGGAAATATATAATATAAAAAATAATGTATCTTGAATGTTTAATTAAAAGATTCGAAGCTGTTTTGAATATGTACTTTCTTATACTGTGGAAAAATGAACATTAGATACAATAATATTTTTTTACCAAAAATTATACGTGCTTTATCACGAAATAAATTATGCTCTTTTTTATTCATTTATTTCTACACGTGTGATCTGGCATACAATCATTTGGTTCAATACTTTAACTGCTAGAAACATTGTATAAGTAAATCAAATGAAAAATATTAAATCAAATGTTTTGAACAAAATGCATTAAAGCTTTAATACGTATGTGTTCGGAAAATCATAATTTGAATAAAAGTTTGTTTACTTGAACGACACCTTACGTATATAATGGACTAAACGTCCAGATAAGACATCACTGTAGCTCACACACATGCTTATGAACTGCGGATCGGAAGGTATGCAACCAGATGGTAGCACCTTCACAGCACATACACAGCTGAAATGTTGTGAAGCGTGTATGGTAACACCGCCTCTGAAATCAGATATCTTCAGCTCCCCACTCAGTCCAATACTAACCACTAGGCCACGCTCGGGGCCCTTCAACACAAGAAAAGCAAGCCTAAGGGATTTAGACTAAAATTTCTGAAATCTTCACTCAAATTAAATATGTTATATTATATAGTGGCTTAACTATCCTTACTTGAAACCTATGTTAACGGTTAAAAAATAAATTAATAAATAAATTTAAAAAAAGTATGTCAGAGTTGGTACTATTAATAAATATAATGACATCACCTTGCTCCTAACATTAAGTTATTATTCATTTTCTCATCGGGTAAAATTTCCAACTTATCACTTCACACTGTTGTCCATAAGCAGTTTTAAATATTGATACGAAAAACCGTGACGTATTCTAGAAACTCGTAAAGATAACTTCTTATAAGAAAATCTGACAAAATTACCTTATGGAGTGTTCATCTTACTAGGATGACATTAAACGTGTTTCCATACCTACTATCTCGCACAAGCTACCATGATATCCCAAGTTGCAAGAACACATGAAAGTGTTTATTCCATCTTCACATTTCGCTCCATTAAGACATGGCCTAGAGTCGCATTCGTTAATGTTCATTTCACACTGTTCACCTAAAATTACAAAATGCAAATATTTATAATGTGCTCACGTTAGTTTCTATCACAAAATTCGAAAGGTACGGAAAAATGTTTTTGTGTGAACCAAACACCTGCACATGACAAACTTTTGTAAAAAAAAACGTCATGTGAAGTCAATAGAAATAAAATAAATTATCGACTTAGCATTTGCAAATGTAATCAAACTGATGTTAAGGATTTTTTTTATTGTTGTTGTATCACTGATAAATTTTATAATTACAAATATTACAAAATAAACCTAATAGCTCGAGCGCTTTCGGAAAATGGACTTTCCTTTATCATGGATACATTTTTGCCCCGACGAAGGAAAGTCTGCTTTTCGAAAGGGCTCGTTTATTGGGTTTATTTTCTAATGCTAATATTTTCCTGTTGTCCTACCTGTTGTTGAAAATCAAGTTTTATAACTACAAACTTATCCAGCTTTCTGTTCGATATTAATCATTTTTTCTCACTATTGAGCAAAGAATGCTTTATAAAACGTATTAATGTTCATTTTTTTCTACTCGTTGTTTCCAATCTTTTAAAAATACAAAAATCTTAGATCAGGTATTTTAAAGATGATTTACATTTTGTAAGCTGTCGAGAACACAGATATACAACGAAAAACTAATTTAGAGGATGTTATTTTTGTCTCTATTCAAACATTTGAGACTGTGTTATTGGATGAATACAATAGATGGCGCTACAAGTAATTTATTGTTCTTTTTGTTTTAATAATACATTAACGTTTTAAGCTGCTAGATGCCAAGTCAAACAACCCAGCAAGGTTTCCTGAATATCAATTACAAAGGGCTAAGATTTGTTTATATTATATTTACAGTTTGTATCAACTATACATTTGTCTATAAACTTTCAATAACGTTCTTAATAATCACTTAAGTACTACTTACATATTTTCAAGATATTACTATGGTGATATTTTGATCAACAGATTATATAAAAACCAATACAATTGTATATGTGTTTTAGTGAGCGAGATTATGGCCCTGTTTTCTTTTTGAGAGAATAATGTGGTAATCAGGTAGTTTGGGAAGTTAAAAGCTACCATAATCGCAGTTGTTAGAGTATTCACCCTTAGCTTAGATTGTAGAGCAAAAATCACACACATTAGATAATCTATCTTAACACACACAGTCTCATATATATATATATATAAAGTAGAATTGTCCATCTGTCTCATTGGTGTCAAAAGTTATTGGAAAGAGCTGGTTGAATCAATTTCGATTAAATGTGGTAGAGGAACCCGAGTTTGATTGGATAAGGAACCAGACGAACTGTTGAAGTTGACAGCAATTTGAAATATGCCGCGAATGAGGGCTCATTCGAGCGAGAAGTCAGTAGCTAGCAAAATATACGAATCCAACGCCAAACGATAGCGATGTTAAATGCCTCGCGTAGCTTATTTCAAGTTACTAACTGTAGGACAAAGAAATTCTTAGTAATCTAGGTAATGAGAAAATTTCAAGCCAATGAAAAACACGATCATGCGGTGATAAAAAGTCACACATCACGACTTTTCAACACCTGCCCTTACACTTGTATGAAATGCGTACTGTTTATATCATGACATAATGTTATTCTTTCATTAATGTCCCATCTTACATTTTTAAAACATTGTCTGTGCAGGTTGTTGGGGTTCTTTGTACATTTGGACGTTTGACAAACTCCAAACATTTGATACATCCCCAAATGAAAGAGTACAATAGTATACGTTTATTGTGAAGTAATATGCAATCACCAAGCCAATACGTGCCTACAAATGAGCAAGATAAACCTTCCTCAGTCAATGTGCCATTAATATAAAAAATGGATAATCAACATGACATCTTACAAAGTCCCAACAAACAACAACTCTGTGCTCCTTAATCTCACATTCCTGCAACCCAGGATAATCAACATGACATCTTACAAAGTCCCAACAAACAACAACTCTGTGCTCCTTAATCTCACACTCCTGCAACCCAGGATAATCAACATGACATCTTACAAAGTCCCAACAAACAACAACTCTGTGCTCCTTAATCTCACACTCCTGCAACCCAGGATAATCAACATGACATCTTACATCACACAATTTAGCGTGTTGAGCACATTTAACTTATTAAGTGACGACCTACCTCGTGTTTGAATGGTCAGCACAGAACAAAATAACTTACATACAAGGTTAATGACATCTCAGACAAATCACTGTAATAAATGAAACACAATCATAACTTATAAAAGTCAATGGTAAGGACGGAACATACAACTATGATGATGTGCGACTTTTGCAAGACCGTGTACGTATTCATATGCATTGTCTCTCTCGTAACTGAAAATTGAAATTGTTACCTTAAAAACAATATTATATTTTACTTTAAAAATTACATTAAAAACAATACTATATTTTACTTTAAAAATTACACTAAAAACAATACTATATTGTACTTTAAAATTACATTTTTGAGCGGGTGTTTAAATCATTAAAAATAACAAGTATTACAAACTTTTACTACTTAAAAATCAAAAAGTATGAAATCCTATATTTATTTTCAGATCCTATAGTAGAAACATAAGATACGCGAAAGTAGCTAACAAATTGAGAAGTGTTGCTTGCAGCGATCATACTCACACTCACACACAACCACTTACCGCCATAACCTGGGTTACAGTCACAGGTAAAATCGTTGGAAGAAGTATTGTGACACGTTCCACCGTTATGGCAAGGGTTCAAGAAGCAGGAATTAAAGTGCTGGCAAGTCTTGCCATAGAAACCTCTAACACAAAGGCATGTGTAGGTATGACTGACATTACTTTCACATGAAGCACCATTTTCACATGGTGAGGGTCGTATTGCACAGGGGTTGAATGTAGTACAGTTCTGTCCAGAAAATCCATTAATACATTCGCAGCTATAGTTATAATTGGAAATACGTCTACAGCTCCCAAGGTTATCACAGGGATTCATGGAACAAGGGTCAAACTGGTCGCAGACATCGCCATAGTAACCGTCGGCACATTCACACTTGTAACCTGGATCTTCTTTAATCATGTTACAGTTCCCATGTTGGCATATATTCAAAAGACAATCTGCAATACGATTAATTCCTATTTTATTATACCCCATTATAATAGAATGAAATTGTGAAACAAACGGAAAGAAATAGTTTTATAGATGTTGTATTCATATACGTAAAATGTGATACCATTTACATTACCAAAGCAACATGAAACTACGTATAAAAAACTTTAAGATAGAAACAAGCGAGTTCGTATACATACTCTCTAATAGGAGAACAAATCAAATAAAGTTTATTTCCACGTACTCCGAAAGAACACTACACATCTGTTTAAAAGTACCCTTGAATTACAGAACAAATTCATTCGACTTTTAGTATCCTTGGACATAAATAAATTAAGTTTGCTTACAAGTGCCATTGAATACTGAAACAATAAAGTCAGCTAACAAGTTACTTTGAGCTTAAAAGAACAAACCATGTCTGTAAACGAATGTGTAATTGAAATAGACACGTTTTGTTTGTTTTTTTTACGTGAAAATTACTCTTACAATCATGTCTCGTAGTAAATCGAACTACTGCACTCCCAAGCCCAGTTTCATTCACATTCCAGCCGTAAACCCTGAATTCGTATTCTGTCCAGAGCTTCAAGCCTTCCAAAATGATGCAGTTGGAGATAGCATTAGTAGTTATATTAAAAATGGTTGCGCCATCTTCCTCGTCACCAACTTTTCTATATTTAATAATGTAGCCAGCCACTTCCCCGTACTCCGGCTTACTCCAACAAATATAGACAGAAGAGTCCGTAGCATTTCTTGTGTGAACTTCTACAGGCTCTAAAAATAAAAAGTTTGAAATTCGGCTTAAACTCGTATTAATAACACAACGTATATTAATGATGTTAGAAAAACACGTAGGTTCAAGAAGTCTAGATAGAAATAAATAAAAACCTATAACCCTTTCGAAAGGTGGACATTTCTTCTTCAGGGGTAAACTGGGTATATCATTATCTCTAAAACATAAGTGGCAAGAGTGGGACTCTAATAAATCTAAGCAGTGAAGAAACAAAAACTATGTATGTCACACATTTTAAACTACTTAAGAAACAAAAACTATGTATGTAACACATTTTAAACTACTGAAGAAACAAAAACTATGTATGTAACATATTTTCAACTACTGAAGTAACAAATTATGTATGTAACTCATTTTAAACTACTGAAGAAACAAAAAACTATGTATGTAACACATTTTAAACTACTGAAGAAACAAAAAACTATGTATGTAACACATTTTCAACTACTGAAGTAACAAACTATGTATGTAACACATTTTAAACTACTGAAGAAACAAAAAACTATGTATGTGACACATTTTCAACTACTGAAGTAACAAACTATGTATGTAACACATTTTAAACGACTGAAGAAACAAAAAACTATGTATGTAACACATTTTAATTACTTAAGAAACAAAAACTATGTATGTAACACATTTTAAACTACTGACGAAACAAAAACTATGTATGTAACACATTTTAAACTACTGAAGAAACAAAAACTATGTATGTAACACATTTCAAACTGCTGAAGAAACAAAAACTATGTATGTAACACATTTTAAACTACTGAAGAAACAAAAACTATGTATGTAACACATTTTAAACTGCTGAAGAAACAAAAACTATGTATGTAACACATTTTAAACTGCTGTTATCATCTTCGCTCTGTCCACCGCGGATAATGGAACCCTGGATTTTAGCGAAATACGTCCGTAAGCTTTTAAAATGTACTGAGTTATTTTGAAATTCTACCGATACATCTTATTTTCCAATTTATTGTAAAGTAATGGATTGTGTAAGGCTTTATCTATCTTAGACTGGCTCAACCTATGCAAACAAGTGGAACAAACATTTTAAAATCATTTTTTATGTGAAAAGCTTACGCATAAAGACCATAATATATACACAGAAGTGTCTGGTAAACAGAACCGGAGTATTAACTTATTGTTGTATTACCATCTCCTGTTTGGATTCTTGATTTAAAGTCGTATATATGGTGGTGAAAGAAATAGCTTTTTTTTTCAGAAATATTAATTATGTCTTGAAATATTTTGTATGCTGTAAGATGAAGTACTTACCATGCTTAATAAAAAATATTATATTCTCAAAATATTTAATTCCTAATTATAGACAAAAATAAATAACCTTAATATTTTACAGGTATACATTTTTCATTATAAACAGTAATAAATAGTAATTTTTTAGTCTTTTTTGTGTTCTATGTGATTGGTTATACTTACTTAAGCTCAGGATCCGTAAGTACATGAGATTAAAATAGAACTAACCAGATATGATCTTAAACACAATTTCGACTCGAGTTTGTGTCCGCCTCGATGGGGAGCCACCATCTTCAGCGACTATGTTGAACGAAATACGACGTCTAGGTTGACTTCCCTGTCTTGAGAAGGTTAACTGACCTGAGCGTGGATCGATTTGAAAAATTTCGTTCGGTGCATTTTTTCCAAGCCAATAGAAAATCTCGGAGTTATAGGTTAAAAGGTCTTCATCATAAGCACGAACTAGTAACACAGACGTATTCACAGGACTATTAACGTGTAGTTCCCCATAGTATAACTCCTTCTCAAATTTGGGAGGATATTTGTTGAACTCAGTAACCACAATTGGAACACGTCTTACCTCAGTTTCTCCTTGGCTAAAAGCAACGATCATTACCTGAACAAAACAAAGATTAACTTTATTCTTTACCTACTAATAACAATATCACGGTTAACTTTAATGTGTACTTAGAATTCAAAAATATGAAGATTACGTACAATCTTTCCTAAAAAAAAGAATAGAATGAAGTTTGACTAGAGTGCAACTAACACAAATCGGGATAAAAAAAGATAAAGATTAATCATAAAACATCAATCGGTGAAGGGGAGAAAAAAGTAATCGCAGAACAATAAATATAATCTGGAAAAAGCACACGAAACATTAATTACAATACAATAATTACACCTAGAAGATAAAATACATCATTCACAAAATAATCAACAACCACCCACAAAATACTGTGACGGGTTAAACACAGACAGCAAACTAACATATTCACAAAGCAGCTTAGACATGAGAAAAACATTAGCCAAAGTAATATAAATGATGATATTTTGGAAAAGAAAAAATATTTCTATGTCATTTTAAAGTTGTTAAAACGTCTCTAGTCAGCAACGTAATATAAAGGAGATTAACTACGAAAAATAACCAATTAAACTACACAGCAAATCAAAATAGACTGTTTAGAGACAACCACTACTAGTACTTGCTAAGTAACGCCAAAAAGATTGTCTAAGACAATCAACAACTTTATACAAGACAACATAAAGTAAATCATGCATAAATAATCAAACTGTTCGTAAAAGTAGCACAAAAGAAGTTATCCAAAGACAATCAATAATCCATTACAAAAGTAACACAGGTTATGGATGTGTGTGTAAAAAACTTCAAATATCTGATTTTGTTATGAAACACAATAAGAAAACCTAAAACATGTTTATATGGAAAACATTGGTATAAGCATCTATATAAAAAACTCAAACATTTCTATATAAAACTTGGAACATGTATTTAAACTTGAAACATATCTTTGTTACAAAAGTTAAGCCATGTCTCTACAACAAACATGGGACATGTATCTCTGTAATTAACTTAAAACATGTATATTTACAACAAAGTTATGGTATGTCTCGATAATAAGTTTAGAACTTCTATGTATATTACAAAAATTAAGAAAGATCTATATTACAAAACTGGGCAAATATCTATAAAACAACATTTTAAACAGATTTATATTAACACAGATTTAGGTTAGAAAACTGGAGCATTCATCTATAGAACAAAAATAAGGTATATCTAAATATTACAAATTGGGACATGTATCTATAAAACAGATTTACGAAATGTATTTATATAAAAAAAGGTGTACCATATGTCTATATAACGTAAACTAAGACAATCTTTACCTATATATGTATATATATACGTGCAACCTGTATGCGAGACAAAACTAACAAACACTGCCTCATACCAATGTCTGTCTTAAATATTTAAAGTGCATTAAAGTGCATTATGGAACTAACTTAGAGAATGCTTGTCAACAGTACTTATCCTCCCACCCCTGTCTCCAAAGAAGGCCGGATGAGTAGGGGGTCACCAGGCAATTTGGGGGAGAAAGGGAAAGGATAAAGACGGTGACGTCATAGTTCTACGAAGGGGACGATTACAAAGTGTAACCAGAGGGCGCAGCTATCTTAGGGAGGGGTGATATTATAGTTCGATACCAGAATGCCTGTTACTATAGGCTGATTCACTTACTAATGTTTATAAGCATATCTTTAATCATACTTTTACATTTCCTGACACTTATATGCAAATCGTCCTGAAAAAGAAGGCTTAACACTAATTAATTAGTTCTATATTCAATTACAGTTCCTGACTATTTATATGTAAATAGTCCAGAAAAAGACGTTTATCTAAATATCATACAATAATTCAAAATTTACTGTTTCACTAGTTTGACTTTATGCTATCCATATAGCTTGACAAAATATTTCATTTTACACTAGATAATTTATAGTTATATATTACACGAGTTTTACAAGGGTGGACACTAACTACACTTCTAAATATGATTACGTCATCAATGTCCAGATTTAATTATGTTAAAACCATTATTTTAACGACAATCTCA